ATGCCAGCAGCCTGCTTGCTCTAAGAATAAATCATTTGGTACTAAGAGTGGACGTACAGCGTGCCAGGTGGAGCCCGCCGTCAGCTCAGACTTCTCCAGCAGCACCACATCCTTCACGCCGCCTTTGGCCAGGTGATAGGCCAGACTGGCCCCCACACATCCTCCGCCAATGATGACAGTGTCTGCGGTGTCCTTCCAGCGCTTCCCCAAAGCTGAAGCGGCATCACTGTGAAAGTTGCAGGGAATAGATTGTGGGTGAACAGATGCAGCAGCAGCAGAAGCAGGTGCTGCTTGCTTCAGCTGGAGAAGTTTAGTTTTAACTGTTTGATAGACATTTGTTGCATGAGATTTAGCTTTGCGTGTTTACGTGCAAGCTACACGTTTATTATGACATAAGCAAAGTAATTCCGGTTTGACTTAAAGTGTTTGGTCCACGTAGTCCAGAGAGGCGGATTCGTCTCACCCTTCTTCTGCATGTTTGTTTGCGGTGCAGCAGATGGTCCTCGCGGGGAGCCGTGGAATCCCTCCACGCGCACTGAAGTCTTTGCGCAGCTGAATGCTAATGAGGTTTAATATCCGAGACATTTCTGCGCTAACAGACTGACAGAAAACTAACCGAGCAGACAGCACGGTCAACACCCCCTCTGTTTGGACCCTGGTGCTGCCCCGAGTAAGTTACAAATATCCCACTTTTACACTGACAGGACGCCTTTTGGATCCGCCCACAGGTCCGAAGGCAAGATAGCGGCGAAGTTTACACGGAGTTAACTGTTTGTACGCCGAAGATCCGGATATCGGTCACAAAAGTATCCTCCCCCTGGATAAATTTTTTTTTTTTTAGCCTAAAGTGATCTCTCTCTCTCTCTCTCTCTGTCTGTCTCTCTCTCCCTCTCTCTTTCTCTCTCCAAATCATCTTCTGGTAATAAAAATATGGTGTTGTTTTTGGCAAAAAAAGAAAAAGAAAGTAAATGTATTAAGAAATGTTTTAAAAAATCAGACCATTGAATTTTTATTAAATTTTATTTTAAAAGTGAAAAAGAATAAGTGTCTGAAGGAGTTGCAACTTTTTACATTCTGAATAGAAAAACCTGTTGTGATATGATTTGTTTTAGCATTTTTTTATGACAAAAGTCTTTTTTGAAGGAGACTTTTGTGTACAGAGACTTCATAATACATTTTATTTGTTTCTATTTTGTTTATTTATTTTGGATACTTATAATGTCTTCCAGAACCTGAAACTAAACCTTCAACTACGACCAAAATGCACTAAGTCATAAAAACATTCATTACTAATTGTATGGGTAAGCGATAAGGCTAACTGCTGTTACCAGTATAAGTTGCTAACTATTAAATTCTCAGCATTATATGCCCTCAAACACTAATACATGTTGCACAGTGGTATAGGTGACATTCATTTAATGAAGCAAAAACGTAATTTATTAGTAACTTAGAATTCACTGTCATTCAGTAGGAAATCCTGTGCTACCATCCATTTAGGAACATCAGTGATAGCCCAAAAGAAGCAAAGTAATATCAGAACAGGTCAAAAGTCTGAACAGTGGCATGTAGTATCTGACTGGAATCAATAAGCTGACCTGAAATTATCTGTCAACTTCAGCCTGAACTTTCCGTCCAGAAACATTGATCCCTGACGGGTTCTTGAGCCTCTGTGAGCAGCTCAGCCTTTAACCCGCTGGAACGGCTGCAGCAGGTTTCAGCTGGATGATGTTTCCTGATAACTGGAGCTGAAAGGCTTGATGGAAATCCATCTCCTAGCTGCTTGGCAGTGTGTATTCAGTGATAACACTCAGAGATGAGGAAGACTTTGTGGGAGAAAGGTGCAAACATTTACAGATTATTAGTTTAACAAAAAAAAGTTTGCATGAAAAAGTTACTTTTCCAGCTGAGATGAGGATGAAATCTGACATGATTTAAATTAAAACTGGGCCGTCTCTGGTTGACGAGTCCTTAAAATGTTCAACTTTTGAAAGATTTCTGAGTTTCAAATTTTGAATATTTTTGACTTGCAACTCAACTTGCAACTCAGAAATTTACATGTTTTTTTTTTTCTAGCGAATTTAAATTTTTTCAAACTCAGAAATGCCTTTGGGTTTTTTTGTTTCTAGAAAATTTCTGAGATTAATTTCAACATTTGAGATTTTGGTGGAAATTTACTCTTGCTTTATTGTTATCTATATTGGCTCTAATATGTTGTCATACGTAAGTGCTTGCATTGCAACACAGACCAAATACATTGTATTTTTCTCTTTTTTAAAAATTGGAATAAGTGTAGTATTAAAGATTATTTGACTGTTTTAGATTATATTAATTAAAATGTTTTAAATTGCTTAAAATGTAAGATTTAAATAAACTGGGAAGTTTGCTTTGTAAAAGTGCCAAGAATAACTTTTTTTTTGGTCAGATAAAGATTGCCCATAGAATAAGATTCTAAATTAAAACTCTATTGGTGGTGATTATGGTCTTAACAGGAAAAGGGTCCCCAAACAAAATTAAGCTCAAGGCCTCAGATAACTTTGGGCCATCCCTGTAAAACAGAATGTTACCTCCATCCTGTCTTTTTTTTTAACCTGCAGCTAAGGATCAATGGATTTTTGGCAATAAAAAAATGTTAGCTTTACAAAATGTAAGGAAAAAAAAACGCTTTAGTGGTTTAAAGCAGAAACTTATATTTTTAGTTTTGTCTGTTTGGCATTAGTCTTAGTTTATTTAGAAAAAGCAAATTTTCAAAATTCATAGCACAAAGACAATATTTACCAATTTTAGGTATTTTGGTAAAATTCTAAAAAATTAAAGACTGCCTAGTCAGACAGGTTATGGTTAAAATAAAACTTATTCCCTTCTAGGTGACTGCGCCACAGGACAAACTTTGTGTTTTGGTTTCTCCTCAGTTTCTTGTTAGCAGGACCTGGTCCAGGCTGCCTCATCACAGCAGGTCGTCACCATGGTAATCTGGACTGAAAAGCTTGTTTCTTGCAAACCATGGCCTCTACTGTTTTTGTTGTTGTTGCTGTGCAAAACCACAACACAATGCCAGGAATTAAGACATTTTGTATTAAGCGCACTCAGTATGTCAGTGAAACAACACATTTTGCCTGGTAATATACCTTCATATGGTAACTACTGATTCACACTGATTTTATGGGATGGAGAAAGTGAAGCTTTAAAAGTGTGTTTACAAATTAAAATCCGAAAAGTGTGGCATGCATTTGTATCCGCCGTCTTTAAGCCAGTATTTATAGCATCGTCTTTCAGTAGAGTTGTACCTACAAACGTCTTTCGGATTTTGTTTCTACTAGCTTTGCGCGTCTAGACACTATCATTGCTTTTGCTCATCTTTGAAGAATAGCTCAAGTTCAGTCAGACAGAACATTTCTGTGACCCTCACATTTCAATTCCAAACTTTGACTAGGTCATTCTAAGACATGGAAATGCTTTGACTGAAGCCAACCCATTGAATTTCTGCCTGTATGTTCAGGGTCGTTGTCTTTCTCCCCCAGTTTTGAGTCATTTGCATCTTTAAATAGGTTTTCTTCCAACATTGTCCTGAAAGGTAGTCTGAATTATGAATTAGTAAATCACTAAAAAGTCTTGAAGATTAGATAAGATATACTTCTCTGTAAAATCAAACTAATTCTCGATATAGTTTTTCACCTACAGAACATGGTTAGCCTTCTTTGCTACATCTTCATAAATTATTTAATCAAGTCACATCCACTCTCCCAGCAATATATAATTAAAACTCAATCAATACACCAGATTTTCCACACATTTCCTCATGACTGTATTCTCTCTGTAAAGCCACTACAGAGTGAATCAAACATGAACAGGAAGTGTCCTGTCTTGACTGCACTGGCGGATGTTGATGCAGAAGCTATTGCTGTACATCCACGAGTCGGCGTCTACAGGTAGAGCCATTAAAACGCCACGTCCTATTTTCAGCTAACACGTTGTTGTAAAACAGTTGGTGATATAATAATAATAATAATAATAATAATAATAATAATAATAATAATTTTAAAAACACGTTACTTAACCGACCACAGAAGCCATTGCCGCCAAGCTAATTAGCATATAAGGTAGACATGTAGCTTGAACCTAAATTTAGCTACGAGATAAATATTTAGCACGTGTGCTGAGTATTTAGGTTGCTATTTAGCTAGCAACCCCAATATTTAGCCGGGGAAGCTAAGTATTTAGCTAAATGTTTAGCTTGCTTGGTATTTAGTTAGCCAGCTAAATATTTAGCTTGGAAACTAAGTGATTAATATGAAAATTTAATGTTTAGTTTAAATTTAGTTTAAATGTCTAGTAAGGAAAATAAAATTACTTTGGAACTAAATATTTAATTAGCAATCTATCTAATTTAAATTAAAGCTACGTTTTTGGCTTTTGAATTTAGTTTTTTGACAGTTGTTTAGGTCAACGTTAAATATTTAGTTGGGAACCAAATATTTAGCTTCCTAACTTAATATTTAATTTGAAAGCTAACTGTTTAGTTTGCTTATAAATTAATTTGGAATTAATTAACATGGCAAAAAAGACTGAAAATGAATACTTTTTTCTTTTTTATTTATATTTTGACAGGCTAAATAAACCAAAAATATTGCTGTTTATTGTGTAACTTTTCGAACGGAACCACATATATGTCAGTGAATACAAGACAAAAGCCATGCAGTGGAAGCGTGAGGTAAAGTGAGAGCATGTTGCGTACAAGACTGGGCTTCTATCTTCTTCACGGCGCTTTCCTGGCATGTCAGAGCAGTTAGCGCAGAAAAGAAAAACATTGAAACCACTCCTCTTCTCAGCCCCTTTTTTATTTTTTTATTTGCCAACATCACACGTTTTGTCTGCCGTCCAACAGCATCCAAAATAAATGCCTTGTGCAAACTTGCAGCTAATAGCAAGGGAGGGAGTTGGAAAGACGATCCGCGTGTGGAGAGGGGTTGCAGGCGGTTCTTGCTGTGACATCAGGGGTTGAGCTCCCGTCTTGAACTATAAATGCAGCATGGATGCCTTCACGGATCCCTTTTCCCAGACTCGGAGGAACGGTGCAGCTGAGAAGAGGCGTCCGCAGAGACCATGGCACCAAAGAAAGTAAGGGCGCACGGCGAAGATCCGAAGAGTAATGTGCACAATTCAGTTTAAAATGTTGTCACTCTTTCTCTTGCATTTATTTATTTTATTTTATTTTATTTTTTAATGACCTCAAACAGCGTTGGGTTTTACATTTTTCCTGCGCGCGCAGGGCATTCTGGAGCGCCTGGATGCAGGAGAGGTGGTCATCGGAGATGGAGGGTTCGTCATCGCCCTGGAGAAGAGAGGCTACGTGAAAGCGGGGCCGTGGACTCCTGAGGCCGCGGCCGAATACCCCGAAGCAGGTAAACCGCATGGCTCCGTATTTTTATTTTATTTTTTTTTCTGTCCTTGTCTTCTGCTCTCCTGACTCCCGGTGGAGGCGATTCGCTAAGAGCGGCGTGTTGTTCCAGTGCGGCAGCTGCACAGGGAGTTCCTGAGAGCTGGCTCTAACGTCATGCAGACCTTCACCTTCTATGCGAGCGACGATAAACTGGAGAACAGAGGGAACACTCAGCGCTTCACTGTAAGCTACACTTCCTGAACTTCCATATTTACTGATCTTTTTTCTTCCCCCGCCTGCAAACTAGCTTAATTAAATAATATTAATTACAAATTATGTTTACTTTTGTCACAGATCTTAAGCTGGCTTTAGATCTGGACTTTGACTAGGCCATTCAAATATGACTATTCTTTGACATGTGTCAAATTCAAGACCAAATCTGGCCCGCGTAGCTTTTTATACTGTCCATTTGTTTATTACTACATTATTGGCTGCAGTTATGTTTTCAATTTTTTCCAATGATTTGTGAATAACATTGTAACTTATGTTGTCAGAAACATGGGCTCAAAAATGCAATGTTATTTGAGAATTTGTTAAATTACGTTGTTACGTTATTGGTGGCCGCACAATGTGTTTTCCACTTTTTGTTTGTATATCTATGGAAAAAGGTTTAGGGTTACTGATTAATAAAACAAATCAGATTTTAATCTCAGAATTCTGACTTCAAGAATCAGAATATTAAAGCCAGAATTCTGAGAAAAAAAATGTCATAATTTTTTTACCTATTTTTCTCAGAAATACAACTTTAGTCTCAGAATTCTGACTTTCGTTTTCAAACGATTAAAGTCTAAATTCTTTTTGTCAGTGACCCTCTTCTGTATATATCACATGAAATCACAATAAAATACATTTATAGCTATAAATGTAACATAATAAAGTGCAAAAAAGTTCATTGGGCTTCGACGCTCCTCTTTGAACCATGAGGGTTGCTCTCACGCTAAATGTAAAAGTGAGGCATTTCTTTTTCTCCTTGTGAACTTTCAGGGGGAGCAAATCAACGAGGCGGCTTGTGACCTGGCCAGGGGGGTGGCCGACGAGGGCGATGCTCTGGTGGCGGGTGGAGTCTCACAGACGCCCTCATACCTCAGCTGTAAGAGCGAGGAAGACGTCAAGGCCATCTTCAAGAAGCAGATCGACGTCTTTGTCAGGAAAAACGTTGACTTCCTGATCGCAGAGGTATGTGACGAACACAAGATGTAGCTGGTGCCGCCCCCCAACCAATTAAAATGCAAACTTTTTTTCTTTTTTTTTTTTTCTTTTTCCTCAGCAGAAAGCAGGTTATCTAGTTTCCTAATATGTGGCAAGCAAGTAAAACTTATTCCACTATACATAGCAAACCTTTTCAGGGTAGCACAGACAGAAAAAATATATTTTGTAGTTCTTGGGTGGCCCTCCCCTTTCTAATGCCTCCCTGGGCAACTGCCCAGATCACAAGGAAGGGTAAATTTACTCTGGTACACATGCATACAAGTAGCAGTAAACCTTTTCAGGGCACAAAAAACAGAAAAGATATATTTTATTTTGTAGCTATTGGGCACCCCAGCCAACCATGTTTCTAATGTCGCCTTGGGCAACTGCCCAGATACTCCATATTAAAAACTGCTACCGTTTATACGTGTTAATGCACCTCACCGAAAGGAGGTCTCACTTTAAAATCCCAATGAGAATATCTGTGTGGATTTTCCTTCCTTAGCAAAAAACTAAATAGAAACAAACATTCAGGTAACCTTCAATATACAGTTTTCTGCTTTTATGCCTTAATGTTGGTCCCTTAATTCTCTTTTAATTCTTCCTGTTGACATTGTTCCCTGCCTACAACACACAAAAACCTCCCAAACCAAAAATTCTTCAACATATGGAGGTTAAACACTTGCTGTGATTGAGGGTGGGTTGACTGTTTATGTCCACAAGAGGGCAACAAAAGCAATCATTTTCATAATCAAATTTAGTTTAGGTGCAGTTCCCTCTATACTTAATGAGACGTCTAGTAAATGTGGGTAGAAAGCCTTACAATGAGTTAGTTATTTTGCAGTAGAATAATCTCAATCTATAATTTGAGTGTTTATTCAGTTCCGTGTTGTCTTTGACGACATCCCGTGTCAAGATTTTAGTTACTTCTAATACTTCTTGTTAATTAGATGATCCTCAACTGTAATTGTGCCCTTTGGTCAGACGTGGTTACGATTGAGCTTTTCATCAACAAACACTTAAGCAAAACCTTAAAATGTGGAAAAGCCCCTACTTATACTGTGAAGTATAGTAAAAGATGTGTGATAGTGCGGGCCTGTGTTTTATGCAAAAGGCCCTTGGAGAACTTGTTAGTGTGTAACATTGTGAACTCTTTTCACATACCAGGATATTTTAAATACAAATATGATGCAGATTGGCATTTCCGTTTTGTTCACATTTTCAACAGGGCAGTGGCGACCCCAAAAGGTGGGTAAGGGGGGACCATGGCCTCTTCTTGAAAAATGTTGGCCTATCAAGTCTTACAAAGTCATCTTGTAGCCGTTGTAGAACCCAATAAATTAATTAATTCATAAAATCAAAACTAAAATTAAATATATATCAATATAAATATATTATTATAATTATTATTATTACTTCTTTTTTTTAGTTTAGTTGGCCCCCCCCCCTAAAGTTTTTACTTAATTTTTTATTTTATTTTTTTCCCAACCCTCTGAACATTTTCTGGGGGTGCTGCTGCACCAGGGGTGCCTATAATTTTGAAATGTTACCGATTGCCTGTGAGTTGTATTCTGAAAATCCAAAGGTGCAAACATCACCAGATATACCTAGCAGTTGTCGCACTCAAGTGCTTTGATGATTCCTCGTCCATTCTGCCCCGGTCAGTACTTTGAGCACGTGGAGGAGGCTGAGTGGGCCGTCCAGGTTCTGAAGACCTCTGGAAAACCCGTGGCTGCGACTCTGTGCATTGGACCCGAGGGAGACCTGAATGGAGTCAGCCCTCAGGAATGTGCCGTCAAGCTGGTGAAAGCAGGTAATGAGGTTTTTCTTAACCCGTCGTGTCGCATAGCCTGACGGGTAAAAACCATTCTATGTCCTGGTTGTGGATTTTGAACCCCACATGGACAACTTCAAAATATACGTATTCCTAACCTGACCGGATTATGTAAGCACTGCGGCTAAATGCCACCAGTGTTGCTTTTGGTCTTCATGTCACAAAGCTCTGCTGTGGAAAGTCAAAGTTTGGATTCGAGACCATGGAATGCAGTATGAGGCCCACAAATGAGGGTGTTAAGGATCTAAAGCTGCCAGTGTTTTTCTCCAGTGGTCGCTGCAGATGCATTTAGATTTGTATTTCAGTCATAAGTGGCACTTTGCTTACAGTGTCGTACAATTACACTTGTGCAGGAATGTAGTGTGTAGTATTGCCGAACAGCAAAGATGACTAGCTAACCCAGACATGTGCTAATGCTACACTAGTCTAAGACTGGTTATTGTGAAAAGACAATAACAATAAAAATCAGTTCACAGATCAGAGGAGCATATGGTGCGCTAACGGCACAGGAGTTTGTGCAGAGTCACAAACTCCTGGAATAAATCATTTGTAAATAACAAATAAATAAGGATAAGAAAAAATCACAAATCAGCGATGTACAAGAGATATCTGTTTTTTCCCTCCACTAGACCATTGACTCACCTTTTATTTTACACAATTTATGTCAAACTCCTAAACAGTTTATGTCACACTCATTCAGGCAATTTATATCAAACTTATAACAAACACTTTAGCAAACTCTTAGAAAATCTTTTAACATCCTGAGAGCAGATGAAGTTTAAGCAAATGTGTGAGGAGTTTCACATGACTTGTGTCTTCTTTTGTTTTTTTGTTTTTTTTGTTTGTTTTTTTTGGCATGCTCCTTAAGAAACCTGTTCAGACAGGTGTAAGCAGATCATTTCTCACAGCTATGACAATTTCAACATGAACAGTATGATTTCAGTCTTGGCAGAGCCCAGTATGTGTGTATGACAGATTTTTTTTCTAAATCCACCTGTCAGATGGATGTTACACAATTCAGTGCTAATAAATAACACAGTCTGTCATTTTATCTGATGTTTAGATGTTCTTACTAATGTCTAGTGCATGAGAGTGCGCTGTAATTCGTTACATGGGCTTTGAGTAGAGTATAATAGAAATCATGGCAGCAAAGTGACAAGTAGACTGAAGCATTTATTTTTATACAAAATTAAAAATATAAATAAGAGAGATTGTACATTGCAAGTCAGAGATTTTATATAATTACTAAGCATAGGGCAGTGTGTAAAATCTGCTCATTTTGAAATACTTCCCTAAAAGTTTGAAATTTATAGAAAGTTGCTAGTTTGCTATTTTTGCTTAAAAAAACACAGACCTGCATGACTGAATCCAGTCCTGTTCCAAATAACTTTCATGTTGTCTAAAAATCAACACAAGTTTGTAAATCATAATTCTCCTTTGTAAATTGCTGACTAAAGTTGACTGAAATTCAACACTCTATGGTATGTGTTACTGCGTCTGGTTAATGTTCAGTTTCCTATTGTTGTTTTTTTTGTTGTTCTTTTTTCAGTTTCTGAGTGAAACCTGAAACCTTAGTTTTAATACAGGTGTAAATAAAAATGTAGCTTCTAACTTAATGTCATATTTGAGGAATAACAGTTTCATTTCAAGTTTAACGTTCAGCATGGTAGGCTTGTGCTGCCCTCTGCTGGTGATTTCAACACATTACGGCAGAAAACAACAATGCTTACGTCTTGGAATCAGAATACTTCTGCACCAACATTAACCATTGCTGGAAAAAACAAACAAACAAAAACACTGTTTTGCCAGTGTAATAGTATAACAAAGTTATTCATTTGTTTTGCAGGGGCAAACATTGTTGGCATCAACTGCCACTTTGACCCAGAAACCTGCGTGAAGACCGTGAAGCTGATGAAGGAGGGAGTGGAAAAGGCCGGGCTGAAGGCCCACTACATGTCCCAGCCGCTGGGCTTTCACACCCCCGACTGCAACCGACAGGGATTCATCGATCTTCCCGAGTTCCCATTCGGTGAGCCCTTCAACTTTGCTTTATTTCTCACCCCAGACACTGACGGTAGGGCTGGACGGTAAATCAATACCGATATATATCGCAATAAACACGTAATCAATATCAGTAGATAACACGTTTGATAGAATATTCAATGTCACTGAACTCCGAGCTAGAGCCGCACAGCATTCTGGGGGATGTAGGCAGAGGAAAGGATTTAGCCAAACTCACAAAGGTGGTGGCATCAACTAACTCACTCACTAATTGGTTACCTAGCAACACCTTGTAGAATAACTTGTGGTTACCGAGCAGCAACCTGCTGAGTAACTTGCACAGCAGCAGTTTCAGGTTTCGCCACTATGCTTGATAAGGATCCGGTATTAATATCTGTATCAGTCCCAATGTTGGAAAAAAAAAAATTCTTACAAAATTAAGAATTTATTAAGAATATTTCTTTGTTTATTTTCATTATATTTAGAATTCCTATCTGCATTTCTGAAACATTTTAAAGGTTTGTTGCAGGTGATTTTTGCATATTTGACTAAGGTAGTCAACCTTTGTTTTTGTTTTTGACAATAACCTGCGACTACAGAATAATTTACGTACGTTTTCCCCAACAGCCCTGGAGCCCAGAATCCTGACCAGATGGGACATGCAGAAATACGCCCGGGAAGCATACAACGCCGGCATTCGTTATATCGGCGGGTGCTGCGGGTTCGAGCCCTACCACATTCGTGCTGTTTCTGAAGAGCTGGAAGCGGAGCGGGGTTTCCTTCCTGCCGGCTCCGAGAAGCACGGCAAATGGGGCACCGGCTTGGAGCTGCATACCAAGCCCTGGGTCAGAGCCAGGTAGATAATTCTCTAAAGTATTACGTTTTAAATCCTTTCCCTTTTGGGAATAACAGTAAAAGGATCAACGTGTAAACTAATGGGATCTGGTCCTGTGCGTAGGGCCCGTCGGGAATACTGGGAGAAACTACTGCCCGCCTCCGGGCGGCCATTTTGTCCTTCGATGTCCAAACCCGACAACTGGGGTGTCACCAAGGGACACGCGGACCTGATACAACAGAAAGAGGCCACCTCCAAGGACCAGCTGAAAGTCCTCTTTGACAAGGCCACACAAAATGCCTGAGTGCCGCCCCATCTGACACCCCAAAATAAATCCTCCTCTGAATAAAAGCAGAAAAAAATGAGTGACATTCCCTCAAACTTCACAAACCCAAACTGTCTAATCTAAGCCTGTCTCAGAGTATCTTTTAGGACTCAACAAGCAGTAGATGTCTGAGTCAGATCCTAAACCACGTCAAGTTACTGTACTGCAAGCTTCAAACTCGTGCCATAACACTTCAAAAATGTCTGCTGTTGTGTGAAACAGTAAATGAACGAATAAAACACGCGAAACAAATCTGCATGTGTGGGTTGGTGTTTGTAAGAAAAGCAGAGGAAATGCTTTTTTTCCCCCCTAATCCTTTCATGGAGGGTAAGCAAGTGATAGAGGTTTTCCAAATACCTAAAAATCCCTTTAAGACTCCTATTTATAATTAATGTACAAAAGATTGTTTCATTATGGGTTACTGAAAGTGAAAACAAGTCAACTTTCAACACAATAGCAACAACCCAGTTTAAACTTTTTCTTCCACCAGGAATGTTTTGTAAACATCTCCATGTTCCCAAAGCTTTTTAACATTTGGCCTTTTTGAAACCACAAACTTAGATGTGTTTTATTGGAACTGAATGTTACAGACCGACGCAAAGTAGCACATAATTCTGAAGTGGAATAAAAGTCACTCATGACTTTCAAGTTATTTTTTTCTTAATAAAAATATCAAAACTGTGGTATGCATTTATATCCAACCACCCTTCCCCCGGATTTCTTATTATTTGTAGATCTACAACTTTATGGCCTCTTCTCTAAAACTCTGTAGAAAATTTGTGTAACCTTCAAAGAGCAGCTGAGATAAATTACACACATGTGGACTCTATTTACCAATTAGGAACAGCTTGTTTGGAATGGATTTTATTTAAAGGTAGTCTAAATTACGCCAAATTCAAAAGACACACTTTTTTTCAAGATCTTTTTACTTGTATAAAAAAATTGAAAGCCATTTTTCTGTACAGTTTACAACAATGGCCTACTTTGTGTGAATCAATCATATAAAATCCCAATCAATTATATCAGTTGTGTCCAAGTTTTTTACAATGAAGGCCCAAAATTGTGAAGTTCAAAGCAAATGGGTGACAAAAAAGTATTTCAATTAAAGTTTCAAAATAAAATTGTTGTTGCTTTTTAGAAATGATTTTATTGGCCCAAGAAACTTGGGAGATTTCAGTGAAATAGACAACATAGTGATATCTTTGTAGAAAAGTTTCTTTAAAGACCAAAACATAAACGGTATCTCTCACTATTCTGGACTCTATTTTCCACCTGTACAGTTTAAGAAGAAGTGGTGAAAAAGTTTGATCTTTTTCGTAAATTAAGACGTGTTTAAGTGTCTTTGTGTTGAGGTTAAAACTCTACATTAGGTCCCACACCAGAGTTAACCCTTGTGTCCAGAAATGGGGTCCAACCGACCCCACACAAGTAAAATTTGTATCATTTTCCACAGTCCTCTACATTTACCTCAGTCCTCGCACGCACAAGGGTTAAAGAGAACTTGACGGGTAAAATCCCTTTTTCCAAAAAGAGAACAATCAGTGAAGCTAAGATGCTCTCTCTCTATGTGGGCATGTTTTAAAACTTGGCTGTCCTGAGGGAGTTTTTGATTTCCTGTTTATTCGTGTAGAGTTAGTAACATGACATGGAGTGTTTTTCTATTAAAAGGGTTTTCTTGCTGGAAAACATGCTATTTTTCCCTCACTTGGTATCCAAACACATTTTACCTCACTGAAACAACTTGAGTTTTTCCACTCGCACTATCAGATAAAATAAAAGAACAAAATGCACAAATTTACATCTTCACTGCAAACATTTTCATTGTTCCTCTACTGTATGTGATTTTTGGGGGATGTGATCATAAAAGCAGAAGATAATTGAGCATAAAGACTAAAGAAGTGTAACTTGTGTTCATGTATGACAAAGCACAGACGCTTACATTTTTAATAAATTATATTGAACATATAAAACATAGATTTGGTAATAGCCTCTAGGTCTGAACAACAACAAAAAACAACAAACTATGAACAGATTGAATAGAAAACATTTTGAACAACAAACAGATCAGAAAGCACAGACGTCAAAATTAACAACATAAAAAACGAAACAACTACATTAGAGGCGAAGAAGTCTACGTGAATAATAAACGCTTACATTTGACTTTTGCTTAAACGTCGTCAAAGGTCTTTTGATCCACTCTGCTTGCTATATATGCATTTTTTTCTTTTTGCTTACAGTACGTGCTGTACGTAATTGCGTCACGGATTTGCCCACGTGTAGATGTTTATTCTCCTCGTGCACGTCGGCTGAAGGAGAAAAAGAGGTTTAACAAAGTCCGACTGGGATTGAGGCATATTAAAGAATATTTAGGTAAATTACATAAAATAATATAGCAAATATTGGCAGTATAGTGTTATCTTTGTTAAATATTTAATTAAGCATAAATAAGAAAAGGCATAACATATGATGCCTTCATGGTACATGGGATAGCCCCGAACAGTGGTAAAAAGTGTATTCTACACCTTTGACTAAACCTTTTACAAAATGTATTTGTTTATCCTATTTAGTGTTAATCTATATAAGGTCTATGGTGCATTTGAGTTCATAAAAATTAGTACATCATGGTAATTTGTTTGCCCTGACACAGAGAAGTGGGGTCACCAATCTGACAAAAATCCTCTGCTTGGAGTAGGGTAGGCCTACATGTCAAAATGTAAAACATAAGATGGCGGAGAACATGAAAAACAAAATAAGGTTAGACAATTTAAAAAGATCCATAGAAAGAAGTAAGTAAAAAAAAAAACTATTTTAGATTCACAGTATACGTTTTGTAATTGAAGTTACACTTTCAAAGTATAAATAAATGTGTTTTTTCCCGATGAAATCGTGGACACTGAACATAGCATGCAGAGTGTTAAGTCCCTCCCCGGATTTGACAAACGCGCACGCACCTTGTGCTTGTAAACAGAAGCTCACACGTGACACGGGGAGCAGAGCCGAGTCGCGCGACCGTATTGTCTGAACGGACAAAGAAGCGTACTGTGAGCGCGAGCTTCGGCCAGGTGAGCGGCCAGGTGTTATGGCAACCGGCGTTATGTGTGGCAACACGAAGCCGAGTTTTTGCTCGTTTAAAGACCGAGGTCTGGGAACGCGTTTGGTCGCTTGAACTTATTGTCTGAACCGCAAATCCTCGAGCTCGGTGGGAGAACATTGTTGACTGCGTTTTCGCTGCGCTCACGCACACAGCTGGTTTACTAAACTGGAGAGCCTTTGTTGTTCCAACGCGAAATCTCGCTGATAGGGATTTTTTCCCCCTTTCTGTCGCTGTCGTCAACTAGCAGTAGCCCTTAGCCTCGACGTCAGAACAAAATTATTTCCGAACAACCTCAATCTGTGCATTCAGATTGAGGCCGGATGAGATGTCATTCGCCATGGAGGATAATTTGGAGTCCGGATGGGTGTCAGTCCGACCCAGAGTGTTCGACGAGAAAGAGAGGCATAAATTTGTTTTCATCGTGGCCTGGAACGACATCGAGGGAAAGTTCGCCATAACCTGTCACAACAGAACCGTCCAGAGACGGAGCACTTTTCTGGACTTGGATTGTAGCCCCGCGGCTGCGCTTCCTGTCCCCGCTGCTGCTGCTAAAAGTCCGGCCAAAGCGAAGAAAGACGAAGCCTGTCAAGCTGGTAAAGTTAGACCGCACTCTGTCCCGACAGGAAAACCCACAACAAACACCAGAGCCTTAGACAAAAAGACTGTAAAAGATGATGGCTTGAAGGCGTTCGAGTGCGTCAGCCTCCCGTTAGGATCCTGGAATATTGTTACGCCGAAGGAGATGGACATGGAGATCCTGGACGTCCCTTCGTCTCCCGAGGATGCAGACCCGGGAGACGGTGAGCTCAGCCTCCGCGAGGACTTCAGCTGGGCCGGCCTGTTCTCCTTCCAAGACCTGCGGGCGGCCCACCAGCAGCTGTGCGCCGTCAACTCGGATCTGGAGCCCTGCTTGCCCCCGTTCCCGGAGGAGCAGTCCGGCGTGTGGACGGTGCTGTTCGGCGCCCCGGGGATGTCGCAGCGGGAGACGGACGCGCTGTGCTACCAGCTGCAGGTGTACCTGGGTCACGCCCTGGACACCTGCGGCTGGAAGATCCTCTCCCAGGTGCTTTTCTCCGAGGGCGACGACACGGAGGAGTACTACGAGAGCCTGAGCGAGCTGAGGCAGAAAGGCTACGAAGATGCGCTGGAGGCGGCCAAAAGGCGGATGCAGGAGGTAAAGGGATTATTTTTCTCATAGTTTTTATTCTTAATAATAATAATAATAAAAAACACATAATCATTTAAGGTGATTTTAATTATGTCAAAACTCATATATGTGCCGTTTATTGTCAGTGTTTATAAGGTATCCTAATTGAGCCTCCTGTTCTCCGGACACCCACTCTCACCCTCTCCCCCTTTGCATAGTCTACCATCTGTTGCAGCAGCACACACACGGAGCAGTAATATGATCTGCTCTGGCCAGACATCCCACTCCAGTTGGCTGAATTGTAACAAGGAAGTTGCATAGAAACATAGGGAGAACAAATGGAGGTGGAGTTACGCAGCTGTTGGCTCTGTCGCCGCCGTTATCCCATATAGCTAAAAACACGCAGCATCTTAATTCAGAGTTAGCGAAAACTTTGTGGGCCAGACAGGACATTTGTCCAAGCCTTGGACAATGTACTAGCGTGCTTCAGATTGGCTTATGTTTAGTTATGATTATTGTATCGACCTCTAACATTTGCATGTTTTACACTAGGGCTGAAACGATTAATTAGATTAATCGTGATGACTCCATTATTGAGATAATCGTCAACTAATTTAGTCATCGATTAATCATTAACTGGAGTAGTACATATACATTTTCCATTTAAGACAAAAAAATCATTTTGCCTTTAAAAATGTTTTTAGAATTCCTCAAGTAATATCTATCTATCTATCTATCTATCTATCTATCTATCTATCTATCTATCTATCTATCTATCTATCTATCTATCTATCTATCAGCTCAGCTCTATGTTCTACAGTTTTTCACATATTGATGTAAGAAATATTTTCTAGTTACAAATGAATCCTTTGCTAGAAATAATCAAGCATACACTAAAATACGGTTATTGTATATAATAAAGTGTTTGTTTTCTTATTTTTTAAAAAGGAATTGAATTGTTTATTCTGATTTTTTTAAAGTATCTTATGTATAAAAAAATCACACACAGTCATAAATATTCAAGCAAATACTTTTTTAAATATTTTGAATATGACAAACTGAATTAAAACTCACAAACACAAGAAGCTGTGAAGCCACCACCACGTTTCTCGCGTCCATTCCATTCTTTAAAGGACGCTTTCAGATTAAAACAAAAACAAAACAAACAAAACAAACAAACAAACAAAAAAAAAAACCTTTCCAGACCTTGGATTCTATACCTTCCCTTTCACAATTATCTACCTGGTTGCATTGGTTTACAAAATGACCAAACACGATTAATTAGGTTTCTGCTTGTTCCAGAACAAAATGTGAAGTAGTTTTACAAGAGTCTGTGAAAGCCAGGTAACAACCCAGTTATAAAGATGGTCCTTGGGGGTAGAGATGGGCGGGCGGGGGGCAGAAACGAAGCCAACTGCAAGTCTTTCATCATCCTGGCTTTGTTCATCTGTTTGATTCACAAACAGCTGTGTGAGGGCTCGGTCAGGCCCAAAATAACCTACACGATGACGAAGTGACTCACTTTTAGGTTTATATGCGACGCCACTTTTCTGACAGACTTTTTTTTTTAGAGCAGACTGTGACTTGTTTTATCAGGTCATTTTCTGTGATAGGCTTAACCTGCATTAAGAAGCAAGCAGTTCCGATACAATGTATGACTTCTACAGCTGCTTTTCAGTTGCATTTTTCTTATAAAATTACTAAAAAGTGATCATTTCTTTTGGATCACATTTGTTGATCAGTTGTTTTATTGTTGACCTCATTACTTGATCTCATGATGTGTCGTGTGAGTTCTCTTGGCAACTTCTATATTTGCATTTTTTAACCTCAAACCCGTTTCGTCATCAGAGGGATGACCTCTGATTTTTGGGCTGATATTGATATCTGATGTTAACATGTTACGGCTGATAGGAATGTTATTGTTCATGCAATTTTCTTCAAAGAGTCATTCTAGATGGAGATGGCTGTGGGCAAGAACGGTTTCCTGTAGAGGTCTGAATTGCTGTGGTTCTGAAGAAGCCTCTGACTGAACACAGTTTGTTATAACAGTTTTATAGGTGCTGCTGCAGTCCATAATTGTCTTGGTTTTACAATAACAATATCTAGTCATTAATGGCAACAAGAAGGAAATTAATATACATTAATATCAGCTCCTGGTTTACATATTGGACTGATACAGATATGTTAGAAATAAAATATAAGATATATATATACCTCTTATGTTTCAGGTTGAATTTCTAATGTATGGCACAGGTGAAGTTGAGATGTTTTTATGTGGAACTAACACATTTAAGAGCAAATTGAACAGACGACATCAGATAGACATGGTGCACTTTTTGGAAATTCTCTTCTCTTTTAATATATATAAACTCACTTGTTGATTATTAAAGGGGCAGCATAATGTATTTTCCAGGCATATAGTGCAATTTTATAGCACTATCAATTAACTATGCTACCTTCAGTTGTTACATAAATCAAATATGACTTTAAAAATTTGACTTTGTCATTTAATTTCTTGAAATTGGGTCTATGTCTCTTTAAGAAACTCCTGCTCTTTCTGAGACTCTACCTTTAGAAAGTAATGACAACATGGCTCCTCTATTAAACCTTTAATTTTCTTGCCAGGATTTCACTGAGCAGTAGTAGTGCAATGAGCTCAGCAGATGTCCTTTTCCAACAGGTGTTTGCTAATTGCTGCTGGCTAGTCTGAAGGAACTGAGCAGGGGAGAAGTGCTCTGTGAGGCCAAAGCTCAGAAGCTTACGCTGCATGCCAAAGGAGGAGCTTTGTCCTTGAAGGCGGAGCTAGGTCCATCCAGGTGTTTTGCATGGGAGATTAAAGAATTTCTCAAACATGCATGAAAGAAACAATGTTAATGTTTCTTAACAATGTTAATGTTTCTTTGATGAGGGAATAGCATCATAACGTGTAAAGCTAGTAAAAGTCGATTTTTACGTAATGCTACTTTAAAGTAGGCGATCCATTAGACGCTGCCTTCTTTTATGACACAAGTGTCTTTATCCTGGAAGGTTTCTGTCATCAGAAACGCAGCACAATACAACAGTCAAGCGAAACTCAGCAACAGCAGAGATAATATTTACTCTATTTTATTGGATTGTACATGTTTTTCTGTTTTCCAGTTCAGTAAGTCCGTTCCTAATAAACGCTTACTGTAGGCGGTGCGAGGCTGTTCTGACCCGGAGCTGCTGCTATGAAGGGTCTAATCCTGTTGAGACAGGATAAGAAAGAGGACAGACTAGTTTACTTTGGTTAAACGGAGCTGCTGGTTGATGTCCGTAAATTTAGCAACACATCTCCGAAATCAATCTGCAGTTTTCCAGCTTTATTGGGTAATCATTATAATTTGAGTTGCAATATTAATCAGCACGCATTCTGGTTATATATTAGGGGAAAATATAGAATATTTCCTGCTAAGATGTTTTTACTTTCCATTTAAATCAACACCAACTTTCCCCTGATTGGTTCGTTAAAGTTCTGGAGCAGCTGCAGACTTAAAATACTTGTGTTATTTTTATGAAATCGCTGCGCTGTCTGGTCTTATCACCATCACACTGACAGACCGTGTCAGTGTCCAGACCTTGCTCTCTCAGATATCCGGGACAGGATGGACCGGTGGTCTAAGACCACGCATCCCCTCCGTGTATCTGTTGATCATTGACCACAGTCACTTTGACCGTTTTCCCTTATCTCTGACCTGTTACTAAAGAAACCCAGACCAACAGCTTATCAGCAGTGAAGTTCGTGCTTTAAAAGCTAATAGTTATAGATTAATGGCTTACTCAGATATTTATGGTTTTTATGTAGTGCAAAAAATGTGATAATGTAGTAGTCTTATAAACTAAACTTTATTAGTTGTTTTAGATATAGAACATAGACTCTCAAAGTACTTTATATGAAGAGTAAAGGACTTTGTTGTATTGCACCAGGGCTACAGAACAACTTCCTCATGAATCAAAAGCTAAAATTTTTAAATCAGTATTGCATCATAAAAATACAATACGTTTCTGAGTTGGAGAGGATTTCAGTTTTACAGGATTTAAAATTTCTCTAGATCTAATCCCTAATTGTCATTAATTCACAAATGTATGAACGTCTGTCTCCTGAATGAAGGTTTGGTCTTGCTTTTTGTATAATGATGCAGCCACTCACCGTGACCTTTTGTTCACATCGCTAACGTCACTTTGGGGAAATGTGGGTGTATTTTATTCTGTCAGACTTGCACTCAATTTTATGTGTTCACAATTTATTTAGATTTTGCCTACTGGGCATGTAAAGTCATTCTACAGAATCAGCACTTTTCAACATTTTAAAGCATCCATTATAATTTGGGGAGTTCTGTTTTGGGACTTTGGATCTTATTAGCCTGTTTATTGATGTGTTGGCAACGGAGGGATATTTTTCTTCGTCTGTTCAATCAGATTTGACAGACGAAGGACCGGGAGACTGCAGGGTTGTTTCAACAACATCAGCTACCTTCTCAAGTGGGATTCCCCAAGGAACCATATTTGACCCACTGCTTTTCCTTAAACATACTGTGTTTGGATCAGCTCTTCATAGAGTTGAAATTTAATTAAAATTGCTACATTTTTGTTTTCCTTGTTGAAACAAGCCGTGCCGTGATTTCTGGGTGATTTAAAATGATTAATTTTGCAATATTGTCTAAAGTTGAGTGAAGAAAGAAGCAAATAGTCCTACTTTGGCTCTACTACTACATGGCTTTTGTTCTCCTTCCACGGGCTTTTAGAACATTCTGAAATTGATAAGATTTATTTAGTTGTGTTTATGTGGCCTATCTCCTTGTTACCTACCTTGTTAACTTTACAGAGATGAGCAGCTGCCATTCTCTAACTTTCCTTTTTAAACTGGGTTACCCACTTACACCCAACATTTCCAAAAGCCGTTTTAGGACGTTAGTTCTTTGTAGGTAATTTGTTTAATTGCTCGGTGTTCTGAGTTTCCAGTTGGAAATACATCTCCTTTTTTCTTTTTTTGCTTTTCAAACATCCGCATAAATCAACTAACTACATTTTGTGCAGATATTCGTGTTAATTCAGCGGCGACAGACGTTACATTTACTGTCTTTCAGGAAGCATTCCATCTTTGAGGAGGCCTGTTCAGTCTGCATGAAAGAAAGTGAAGGCCTTCTCTTTCCTGTGTTGTATTTCAATTAAAAGGCACGAAGAGAAGAAAACTACTGCGGCGTAAGACAGAACAGATTTATTGCCAACAGGAACCGGTCTTAATGATGGGGTCTGTATATCACCGAGAGGAAGATCTTCTAATTACGTCCTCCGCGCTTTTGCGGAGGGCTTTTGTTGCCTTTAATGCTAAACTTAGCTTGTAAAATTGTACCTTTGTAAAAGTGCTTTTAAAACACGAATCCAAACCTGCCGGCTAACTTGTTGCAAGTGAGCCTCATTAACTTTGAGCTCATGAGCTTTGAGTTGGCTAATGGCGCTTTTTTTTTTTCCTCGTTTTGTAGGCATCACGTCTCTATGCTGTTGAAGTGAAGTGGAACAATAACTTATTCATCATTTTTCCAGTCTTTGAACTCATATTTCATATTGATTCTAAATGATGTAATAACACTTTAAAAGTAGACTTTTCCAAATCCTATCCTGTGTGACTTCTTGGCTCATTTAGCTCAGGGGGTTTCCTGGCTAGCGGGGTGTGGGGCTGGTCAGCGGTTACCAGGGAAACCCAGGGCCAAGGTAAACAGTAGGGGCAGTGTTGGAGCTGAATCGGGCAGTGTATGTCACAGTGTAGATGGGCTTAGGAAAATCAGCTCAGAGTTGATATAAAAGTCGTCATTCATATCTGTGGCAGATAGAGGAGCAGTTTATTCGCCTCTTCAGATGATTGTTGGACGGTGATACTTTCAGTGCCGCGTCTGAAGCAGAAGTAGAGGAGATGTGTTACGCAGTTTGAATCAAAGAAGCTGGTTTCTGAGAGCCCTAAACAAAAGCTCGACTTAGTGGCGTTTTTAAGAACAATGAACAGTCTGTGGATTGTTGAACATATGGTATGAATCAGTAGCAGTCAGGATCAGTGGTTGTTTTTTTTTTTTTTTTTTTTTTTTGGGTTTTTTCTCAAAAATGTGTTTTGTGATATCATTCCTGGCTACACATTAATGAGCATGTACTTACAAATCCTCCCAGGCTGAGTCTTTGTGCTTGTTGAAAGGTTTTTTTTTTTATTCCTTGCTTTGAGGTAGCCATTGTTTCAGACTGCATTTAGTTCAAATTGGAGCCAATTTAAAATTAAGTTTTAAATAATTAAAAAAAAATTAGGATTAGAGTTTATCTGTTATAAAATGGATTAGAGTCGGCAGAAAAATACAAGCTCCAAAGAACATAGAACAAAGTAAGGTAAACCACTCTATGAACACATAACTTGTTAAAAATTGGCACTTAACTGAACGCGTTCTTGCCATAACTTAAAGCTGTAGTATTAAACTTTTTTCTTTCTTTTTTTTTTTTTTTTTTTACATATTTGTTCAAAATGTTCATTCATGTAAAATGAACTCTTCTGCCTTCTCCCACTGCTCCGAGTACTAATTGCAGAAATACTCTACTCGGTCAGAAACAACCAATCAGAGCCAGGAGGAGGGTCTTAGCGCTGTCAATCACTCTCACGCTCACCCTGCAACATACTGCAGCTTTAAACTATTTCCTTAACTAGAAGGTTGGAATGCAATACTTTAATGAGTTTGCTCCTGAATCACAATTTTTATTTTATTTGCCAGTTTATTTTCTCTGAAATGGAAAGGTAGTTTAATTAGGGAAGCATGATCTATTTGCGTCTACACTGGTACTAACAGATGTTCATAATTTTTTAACATATTGGTAAGGGTCTGATAAGTAGAACTGGGCTGATATTAATAAATGTTTATGTTCATTTTTTTGGGTGTTTGTGTTTCAGGAGGGGGAGGGGCTTGGCACGTGACAGTGGATCACTAGCAACTTTTTAACTATAGCGTTACCCTTGACTACAAGAACGTTAGATGTAGCACCAGCTACGTTTTATGTCGTCTTCGGTCCGCTTAACACGCGCCATCAATTTACCACGTGCAATACAATAATGTTTTGGATTATTTTCAGTATTTTTTTGTGAAATGAAACCATTTCAAGAAACTGCTTTATGTTTACAAGTAATTTACAAAACAACTTGTATAAAGATCATATTAGAAAATTCAACTTTCCTGCTTACAAATCCTAAAAATCCTTAAGTTCGTACATACTTAGCCCTCAGTCTACTATGGTTATATTAAACTCTGTTGGTTAAGTCCCCAAAACCCCCTTTAACTCTGTAGCCCAGAGGCCCACATCCTCCTAAATCCGGCCCTGGTGTTGAGGATTTCATAAGTAAAAATGTCCTTTACTAAATGTAATGAAGTGTTCACACAGATTAAACCCTGAAACAACAGCATGCGTTGCAGGATGATGTAGAAACTGTCATGTGACATATTGGTGTTATTAATGTTATCAAGTGAGTCTGAAATCTCTCTTTTTTTTACCCTGATAATGATCTATTTCAGTTACAGTAATCAAGAAATGCCGTTTACATGGCGGCGTATTAATCAGAGTAAAGGCTGAGTAAACATGTTTGTCCTAAAGCCACTAATGCAGCTCAGATGATCACTAAGAGGGCAGTGAGTTAAAGCACTATATATAGTTCAAAAATGTCTGGGAATGTGGCCAAATGTAATCTAGGGGAATAATCGTCCAGAATGTGTAGCAATCAGTGATCCTGGTTGATGTGCTTTATGTAAGCCCCTTATATATGAAGCAGGTGAGTGAGAAATTTACTCTTTCCTCCAAACATGGACTTCAGCTTCATGTTCTACATCGAAGGAATATGAGAAAAATAAAGCAAATTTTATTGAGCATACATATAATAAAGGCACATTGTCTGTACCCTTGGGTCTGAACAATAAACAATAATAAAAAAATTGATACTGACAAAAATCAAGGATAAAGTCAGCTATTTATTCTACGATTATAGAAAAAAGTCATAACATTACGAGAATAAAATCGTACAGGAATAATAACACAAGAATAAAGTTGAAATAATGGCAATAAAGTCATAGTATTATGGGAATAAAGTCTTCGTATGACTTTATTCTTGAAATATGACTTTTCTTATATTATAATGACTTTATCCTTATGTTTCCCATACGACTTTATTCTTGTAATGATGTTATTTTGTATAATGCTATGACTTTAGTCTCATAATTGTCATGATCTGTGTTTATTTTGAGTTTTTCTATGTTTTCCTGTTTCCCTGTGAGTCTCTGTCCTGTCCTCCCCGTTGATTGATCCCCAGGTGTGTCTCGTTTCCTTAATTACCCCGTGTGTATTTAAACCCACCTGTTGTCTGTGTTCCTCGTCGGGTCCTTGTCGTTTGTCAATGTCTAACGTCTCAGTTTTGTATGTTCACTCCATTATAACTGTTTAGTCCTGGATAGCGTTAGCTCTCGTTTCAGTCCTGTGTATCAGTTGCTACCGGTATTTGGCTGTGTGCCTGTCTTTCTGCCGTGCTGCCTGTTTTTGGACTGTGAGCATCATCATTAAATATATTCATCTTCTTCATCACCATAACCTGGGTCTCAGCGTCTCTCCTCACCACCTACAACCCCACTTCATGACAATAATATGTTATTCTTGTAATATTATGACTTCTTGTAATTTTGTCATTTAATTTTTTCTTTTTCCTTAGTTTAACCCTAAAGCTCCATTGTAGGATCTTGATTGTAAAATTTAAAAAGTGACTTATTTTAAGTTTGCTTACATAACTTGTTGCTCTAACTTTGCTGTGAGGCGTCAGCATGAGCATTGGAGCCAACCTACAACTCTCCAAATGCACTTTTTTAATGAATTCAAACCATTTTTCAACATTGAGGGTGGTTCGTGGTCCACTTTTCAAGCCTCTGTCCCGTGTGCTTTGTCCCAGGTGTTGGACAAGCACAAGGCCACGGACAGCATGGTGGAGCTGCTGCAGGTGTACCCCGAGGAGGACGAGGCGTACGGCGAGCTGCTGGAGGCGACGACTCAGCTGTACCACTACCTTCTGCAGCCCTTCAGGGACATCAGAGAAGTGGCAACTCTGCGGCGGCAGCAAATTAAGGTAATTCTGCACACAGGCACACATAAACAAATACCCATCTGTTTTTCGAGCTTGTTTTAAGCAGGTTTAGACCTCCATGTAGCCGGATTACTCATTTGCCCTTGAAGACAATTTGCCTCCCGTCGGGCGGATCTTCATAAATCAGTGGACCACACGGTAAAAAAAAACCGGGTTCTGTGGTTTTGGATAGAGCAAGGCGACCCTCCTCCAGTGAGCATCCACGCATAAACCCACTGCCGTCACATTACTGGTACATGCTGAGGCTTATGAAGCTGCCGTGGTGATGATGAAGATGATGGCAGGATGGAGGGTAGAGGATCAGCTAGAGAGGCTTTTTTCCCCTTGCCTAGAGCAGATTAACCACCAGTCTAAGTATTATTACAGCGGCCACTAAACCACTCGGTAATTCTGCAGCCTCAGCACTCTTCCTCTGCTCTCTTTGTTGCCTGTCTTCATCAGAGGCTTGAAGAGAGAATCTAGTGAGCTTCAGAGGTGATCTTTGATAAAACCTGTCCTATCGGTCAGCAGGTCAACGCGTACATCTGGACAATTGTTAGACAGTTGCAAAACTGATGTGTGCTGAATTTAATTTTGAACTTTAAATATTAGCACCTCCCAAATAAGCAACAGAACAACAAAAGCTTACACTTTTCAATTCAAGTTTATTTGTGTAGCAAATTTCAGCAACAGGGCAGGTCTATATCATAAAAACATCCTACAGTCATCAATTGTGATGACTGTAGGATGTCATCACAATTAAATTTAAATTTAAATTTAATTTAAATTTAATTTAAATTTAAATTAAATTTAAATTTAAATGTTCAACTTACTTGTTCAAAAGTAACTCTAAACAGGTGGGGTTTTAGCCTTTAGTTTAACTTTCCCACGGTCTTAAGAAATGTGGCCATTTGGACCCCATGAGTCTTTTACTCTGTTGTGGTCCAAAGAGGTCACACTGACCTCATGTGTGCTTCTACAATCTTTTCTTTGCGTAGTTCTGGGAACTGACGGTCTGACAGGACAGTCTCCCTCCCGACCTCTGTTTCCCTGCTGTCCAACCGTGGCATTTACCACGCTCCTCCTGAGCGCTGGATTAAAGGAACTGTGTGTCAGCTGTTTTCTGGAAGCTCCAGATTTGTGGTGCAAAGATACTGAATGTTGGTTGTCCATGTTTGGTTCTAGTAGTCTAGAACCAGAATACCAGAGTGGTTGGTCAGGTTGACACAACAACAGATCTTCAATGTATTTTGGCGCTATGTCGTTAAATGGTTTAAAAACTAACAAAAGTGTTTTAAAGTCTATTCTATGAGCTACAGGGAGCCAGTGTAAGGACTTTATATCTGTGATGATGTGCTCTCATCATCACTCATCATTAGGTCTAGATAGCCTATTCTATCTACACCAAAAGAGTGCATCTTTTCGTGCTTTTGGAAACTTATTTTTGCATAATACACATATATAGCATAGGAAGGAGTACATTTTTAAAGACAAATCATGATTTTGCTGCTGCCTCAGCTTTATGTCAATGTTTAGCCTTTCACAATTTCTCACTGTGGCTGCCAACAACCCTTAGCTCATTAAGTTGTCTGCTATAACCACTACAGTCGGCTCCAGATGGAAGGAGTCCTTTTCTCAAGTCCAGTGGTCTTGTGTTAAAATTTAACACATCCACTTTAGTTTAGTGTAATTGGTAGAGTAGTCATCCTGGGATCAGAAAGTCGTGAGTCGGTGTGACTGGAAAACCGCTCATTATGGTCCATTTCCAAGAAAGTTTTTAAGGGACTTTTAACTGAGACAATTCAAGCTTCAGCAGTACAGATTGTTGGTCATTTAGGACGTGATAATCATAAATGAAGCCTTGGTCCTGTAAACTGATGCAGATTTTTTTTATTTTTATAGATTTTTACGTTTAAATAGCCAAAAAGATTCTGCATTTGAGTGTATTTTTTTGGCACTACAAAGAAAGCTAAAACTCAGGACACTTTGTTGGTGATTTAAATTGTTTTCATAGTTTGTCCTCAATGTACATCAAACCTTGGGATTTTGCTAAAGCAAAAATACTTCTGTGCAATTTATTTTTGGTAAGAGACTGTAGTTTGTTTTTAAAAGGGCAGTGGTGCATAAAATTTCCTTTTTTTTTTGCATCATGTTATAATGTTATTCCCTCATCCAAACATACCTGGAGTGTTGCTTTGATTATTTCATGCATGTTTGAGAAATGCTTTAATCTCCCATGGCAACCATTGGGGGGAGCGAGGGCCACCTTCCTGGACGAAGCTCCTCTGATCTGCAGTTTCCAAACTTCTGAGCTTCCACCTCACAGAGCGAGCCTCCTCCACTCAGCTCCTTCAGACTAGCCAGCAGCAATTAGCAAACACCTGGTAGAACTGAACATCAGCTGAGCTCATTATAGAAGCTGCCTCTCTGTGAAATGCTGGTTAAAAACATTGTTAAAGTGTTAATAGAGGAGCCATGTTGTGACGACTTTCTGAAGGTGGAGCTTCAGAAAGAGCAGGAGTTTCTTAAAGAGACAGAGGCCCAATTTCAAGGCGTTAAATTACAAAGTCATGTTTCTTTAAAGTCACATTTGAAATATATGGCATTTTCTATAACAACTTAAGGCAGAGGTTCCCAAACTGTGGGGCGCGCCCCCTAGGGGGGGCGCCGTGTCATTGCAGGGGGGGCGCGGGAAGCCGTCTGGTTGAAAAACAAAAACAAAACATGAACACTGGATGCGCTGGGTTTTTACCTTAGAATGGCCAGCTCTCTGTTATTCCTATGTCAATTTGATACAGTAGAGGCTTCCACACTTCCCATATCTGTGTCCTCTGTCACTTTTATCAGTTAAAACTGTTTAATCCGTTAACATGTTGTAACCTGTTTTTCCGAGCCGCCTTTAAACGCAATATGAGCGCTGCGACGCTTGCGCTGGGTTTCCACCTGTGAAGGAGACCTGCTGCTGCTGTGGAGCTACGTAGGTTTGTGTTAGAATCACGGCAGCAAACCAGCAAAACGCAAAGAACTTTTCACAGTTTTTCCCTCCAAACTAACCGACTGAGTTGAGTAAAGCTGTTGGATGCAGGTAATGTTAGCTAAAGATGACTAGCTAATATCAATACAGAACCTTAAGCTTAACAAGTACCTTGTAGGCTACCGATGTTGGTGTTTATTTTCACCTACGTACATTCATTTTGCCCCCAAAAAAGTTGAACCCCCCCGCCCCGTCACACACGTCGTTTCAACCAGACAGCCATTTGTAATCCATAGGGGGGGCGCAGAAAATGTTTGGAAACCACTGGGGGGGGCGCAGAAGAAAAAGTTTGGGAACCACTGACTTAAGGTAACATAGTTACTTGATTGTGCTTTAAAATGGCACTTTGTGACCAGAAAACACAATAGAGCCCCTTCATAATATGAAAAATAAAATAATTAAAGGACATTTTGTTGTTGTTGTTCGTTAATTTAATAACATGGACAGGAATGTGCAAAATCTTTCACGTATATTTGAGAGCACCACCTCGTTCGGTTAAAACAAGCTTGGATTGTTTCACAGGTATTGTTCGGCGCTTTTCAATAAAATAAGATTGAAACATCAAAGGTGCCACTGTGACTTTATAACACCTGGGAAAAAAAAAAAAAAAAAAAAAAGGGTGTACCCAGGTCGGGCTTTTTAAAATTTTGTTTTGGCCAAAAAAACCGAATGGG